AATGTACAGCGCAGTGTACAGGACAGAGCGGCCAGTGTATATAATACACAGCGCAGTGTACAGAGCGGAGCGTGCAGAGTATATAATGTACAGCGCAGTGTACGGAGCGGGCAGAGTATATCATGTACAGCGCAGTGTACACAGCGGAGCGTGCAGAGTATATAATGTACAGCGCAGTGTACAGAGCGGAGCGTGCAGAGTATATCATGTACAGCGCAGTGTACAGAGCGGAGCGTGCAGAGTATGTAATGTACAGCGCAGTGTACAGAGCGGAGCGTGCAGAGTATATAATGTACAGCGCAGTGTACAGAGCGGAGCGTGCAGAGTATATAATGTACAGCGCAGTGTACAGAGCGGAGCGGGCAGAGTATATAATGTACAGCGCAGTGTACAGAGCGGAGCGTGCAGAGTATATAATGTACAGCGCAGTGTACAGAGCGGAGCGGGCAGAGTATATAATGTACAGCGCAGTGTACAGAGCGGAGCGGGCAGAGTATATAATGTACAGCGCAGTGTACAGAGCGGAGCGGGCAGAGTATATAATGTACAGCGCAGTGTACAGAGCGGAGCGGGCAGAGTATATAATGTACAGCGCAGTGTACAGAGCGGAGCGGGCAGAGTATATAATGTACAGCGCAGTGTACAGAGCGGAGCGGGCAGAGTATATAATGTACAGCGCAGTGTACAGAGCGGAGCGGGCAGAGTATATAATGTACAGCGCAGTGTACAGAGCGGGCAGAGTATATAATGTACAGCGCAGTGTACAGAGCGGGCAGAGTATATAATGTACAGCGCAGTGTACAGAGCGGGCAGAGTATATAATGTACAGCGCAGTGTACAGAGCGGGCAGAGTATATAATGTACAGCGCAGTGTACAGAGCGGGCAGAGTATATAATGTACAGCGCAGTGTACAGAGCGGGCAGAGTATATAATGTACAGCGCAGTGTACAGAGCGGGCAGAGTATATAATGTACAGCGCAGTGTACAGAGCGGGCAGAGTATATAATGTACAGCGCAGTGTACAGAGCGGGCAGAGTATATAATGTACAGCGCAGTGTACAGAGCGGGCAGAGTATATAATGTACAGCGCAGTGTACAGAGCGGGCAGAGTATATAATGTACAGCGCAGTGTACAGAGCGGGCAGAGTATATAATGTACAGCGCAGTGTACAGAGCGGGCAGAGTATATAATCTTTAGTACAGCTAATAATAATTTCCTGCCATGAATTGCGCTCTACATACCAAGCCCGGGAATGTGGTTCAGAGATTGCAGAGTCTAATGACAGGAAGTACATTTGGGCTGCAGCCCGGGGCAGTGACGTTCACTGGGGGTGACAAACTGCTCCTCGTTTCCTCCGGAAATATTAAATATAGAAAATGTTTCCTCTTTTGATTACATATTACACACATACATGTAACAGGTGATGAGACACACACTATATTACCAGAAGTATTGGGCTCCGCCTTTACACGCACATGAACTCTAATGGCCCCCGAGTCTTAGTCCGTAGGGTTCAGTATTGGGTTGGCTCCGCCCTCTAAAGGCATCCCAGTCTTAGTCCGTAGGGTTCAGTATTGGGTTGGCTCCGCCCTTTGCCGCTATAACAGCTCCGCCTCTTCTGGGAAGGCGTCCACAAGGTTTAGGGGCGTGTCTATGGGAATGTTGGACCATTTGTGAGGTCAGCTACTGATGTTGGGGGAGGGGCTCGCAGTCTCCGCCTCTAATTCATCCCAAAGGTGTTCTATGGGGTTGAGGTCAGGACTCTGTGCGGCCAGTCACGTTCCTCCCCCCCCTCTCCCCCATCCGTGTCTTTATGGACCTTGCTTTGTGCACTGGTGCGCAGTCATGTTGGAACAGGGAGGGGCCGTCCCCAAACTCCTCCCACAAAGTTGGGAGCATGAAATTGTCCAAAATGTCTTGGTATGCTGATGCCTTAAGAGTTCCCTTCACTGGAACTAAGGGGCGGAGCCCAACCCCCGAACCCCCCACTCCCCCATAATCCCCCC